TTGTTTTGATTAAAATAAATTATTGTTGGGCTTTGGGCCGATATGAAATTTGTTTTGACATCTAATATCAAAATCTGGATAAGTCTCATAGAGATAAATCCAATATGTGGACTATTTGTGTGGTCTTGATTGGGAACCTGAGTACAGACCCAAATCAAGAGTAAATAAAGAATTTGTTTAGAATGTAAATATTGAATTGATTTGTTGAAATAAATCATTAGAATAATTGATATGAATTAAATGAGAGAACCTTTTATGAGAAAGGTCAATTAAACCAATTTTGACTCTGTTAAGGTCAAACACCCAAAAATATGATGTTAGAAAAAGTATTACAAATAAATATAAAAATTATATCGTTAGATAGAGTTTAACTGCCCGATCGCAACGGTGCAAACGGAATTCAATTCGGAGAAAGTTGGACCCAAAAGTATACCCCAACTGGAACCAAAATTGGTCCCAATCAGGGACACTCTGCGAACGGCGCCTCCCAGCGCACTAAGCCGATCGTGAGTCGATTCCTACACAACATCATGTGTCTTGTTCTTCATCCTCTTCACTATATAAAGAGCTAAAAATTCTCATCATTCACCAAAAGTTGTGAAACTACTACCAATGTGTTCTTAAGAGTGTGGGGAGTACTCTGAAATAGTTGGTGGTCGCCGAAGTCGCCGGAGTTGAGAGAAATCATTGCCGGTTCGCCGGAAAATTTCCAAAACCTTCATTGACCTTCGAGGTAAGCCCGTAGATATATCTAGTGACTAGAATGTTCGTATAGATCGTTTCTACGTTCATAAACGGTCATTTGGTTGAGTTTTGTGTTTGACATGCTTGAAGAACCAAGAATCATAAACCATGAAATTGATGTTAAAACTATGAATTAATGATTCTAAAATGATCTATGAACCTTGGAGAACATCTCTATATAGTTTCGTTGAAGTTCGATAACTAAAAACGGTATTTCCGAAATTGGACCCGAACGAAGAAGATGATGAACAGTGGCTGAAAGATGGGGCGAGATTGTCGGGATGGATGTGACAAGTTTGAAATGATTTATGATACGTCAAAATTAAATTCGCTTCCGCAATATTGTTAAATACTCCGTACTGTATATGTTATGAAAAATATTATTGAGATTAATAAAGTGTGTTTGAAAAGTTTTAAATTTTACGATTACCAAGTTAAATACTTTAGTCCGAATGGGGCTGCAGACCTGGACGGATTAGGGTGTTACACCTTTGATGTGATGGGTAAAAGTATGATTTGATGAATAAATTATTAGTAAAAAGGTATGATGTGATAGTTAGGGTATGAAAAAGTAAGGGGTAAAATTAATGACTTTTTAATAGAAATGAGAAGTGTTTTGTGAGACGGATAAAAAAAGAAAGGAGAAAGGTTTCATGGGACGGAGGGAGTATATGTCAAGAAATGTAAAAAGATAATAAAAAAATTGTAATTGTAAGATCTGACACTCCACTCATTTCGCATGCTCACTAGATAATTTTTCATTGGTTGAAATATCTCATGTAACCGTGTGACATTTCACTTATTACTTGCCATTGTCATCCTCTAAAAACATCTCTATTTTGTTAAGGATAAAATGCACTCAAACAATTAAGATTTTTTTAGATTAAAATTTACTTCTAAATAAGATACTACGTATGAGTATTTTATAGCTTAAGCATTTCTCTTACAAAAATGAGTTTGACGTGCCATATCATTGACTCATTGTTGACTCCTAAGTCATAATACTCCCCTATCGACTCACCCTCAACGCATCATCTACAAATCGTCTGCCGGATCATATCACGGAGTTTGGATTGCCGGAGTTGACGCGATCCCGACTGTAGCACGGCAATTCAGTGCCGGATTCAAGGTACGAACTGCTGCCGAGTCCGACATTCAAGTTAATTGTTTTCTCTGTGACGCGGGAGATTTAGCGGTGCGGTTTTTTTTCTTTGTAGAATTTCGGGGTTTAACGGTGGAGATCTGATGGCGGACGGCGGAAATCCATCTAGGTATGTAAAGTTGACCAAGGATCAGACGCCGGTCGAGGACATCAATCCCGGCGAGCTCAATATGCCCATTGATGTTCATCAGGTCCGTCAAAATCGGTAACCTTCTGTATTGATCTGTAAAGATGTTTACAATGGTGGAAATGTAAGGCGGTCTAGTATATTTATCTCCTGTTTTTTACTGCTCAGGCTCAGTTTTGCCCCATACCATGTTTGGTATGATTTGTGTAGCATAGATCAATCAATTTTTAGTTCTCAGTAACATTGTGTCAATCGAGATATACGTTAAGCCTTCCAAAACCCTCCATCCAAACTAGACCTTAGTTGGGTTTTGGAGACGTAGGTTCTGTAAGACTTAGTAACTTGATAAATAGTTTGTTTTCATTTTCTGAACACTGATACAGATAAAATGAAATTTGAAATGTTTTATAATCACATTTGATGTTAGGGATGTGAAATTTGAAGCCAATAAACCCACCTTGGGGGGACAAAAATGTATTCACCTTTTTTCTTAGACCATAGCATATCAAGTACTCCATAAGGACCATAACATACCAACATTTTAGCCATTGCCCATGACATGATTATTTCTTACTAAACTTATAAACCTCTTACAATTTGATTTTTCAAGTAAATCAAGTTCTCATCTTCATCCCACAAAAAAAACCTGCATTAATGTTGATTTATCTGCATAAGTGGTTCATGGAATGCACATACTAATTACTAAATAAAAATTGGTTGGGAAATGCTACTACAGGTTGGTTGTTACACAGTATACAATCTTGATAAACCAACTATGAACAAAAATCAAGATTATAAATATGTCATGTGATGATGTGAATGAAGATGAAGCACTTTACTTAAAAATTTGATTTTTTTTCTTTTATCACTTAGCAGTAAACATGTCCCCAAGTGCAATGAAAAAAAAAGTTTTATCTTTGGATGTAACTCTCCATAGATCGGTATGCTATGGTCCAAGAAAAAAGCTGTATATTTTCGTTCCCAAATATGAGTCTAGTGGTGTCCAAATTTCCATTATGTTATTTCTTCGATATTTATATAACTATACGCTTGTGTATATGTGTGTATCTATGTTTAGCCTTTCAAAACCCTCTATCCAATTTGATCCCTAGGGATCCAAAAACTCTGACTCCAAAATGGCCCTTAGGGACCCTAGGACTAAACAAACATTTTACAGTTTACAGAGCATTATATTGAAAAGTGACACAAGTAAACTGCAGATGGAGTTTTTTTTGGGGGGGGGGGGGATATGCTGTTACATGAGGTGTGGAGTTTTGGGCCAGGTAGAACATATATTACTGTATGCCAGGTGTGACTCTCAATGTTTCAAGTCTTTTTATTTATGAGATCTAATGGATGGTGGGAGTTTAGTCAGATGACTATTGGCACTGTTAAACTAATTGCCAATGCTAACAGTATCTAAATGATTTTATGTAAACTGTTGGATAAGCAATTAAGCATTCTGGGTGGTTATTTGTAGCAAGAAATACTAACATGAAATGTCTCTAGGAACCATATTTTTCTTCATATACATTATGCATTCAAATTCCATATCCATCACATGTGATTGATTTGGCAGTTATCGGCTCGCAAGTGCAATGAATGTGGGCAGCCTTTACCTGAAAGTTTTGCACCCCCTGCTGATGAGCCATGGACAACAGGGATCTTTGGATGTACTGAAGATATGGATAGTTGTAAGTTTCTCTTCTGAAAGTTGTGTTATACTTTCAGTGTTTCACGTTGATATTAGTTAGGGATAAATGCATTTGGAAGGTTGAAGTTTTCAATTGTTACTTGTCTTATAAAAGTATTCTTAAACAGTGCAGTCTCAATTGATTCTGGAAGCTTAAGTCTTAAACTCAAGTATATGAAGTGTACTCCTAGTTTACTAGTACATTATTACCCAGCAGTTTTAGTTCTATTATTATAAACACCCTTCATTTATATTAATCTCACTTTGTCCAAAAAATAGAGGTCTTTGTGTATATGTTAGTAAATGGAATGCATTTGATCAATTTCCATCACTTCAACCTCTTCTAGGGCAGAGGTTGGTGGTTGTGCAGTGATATGCTTCTAGTCAAGCACTCAACTACTAGCCACTACAAAAACATATTTTGTGAGAAGACAATATCAATGAATCTCATTTTATGTAAATAACAGAAAATGCTAGGAAAAGAAAAAAGAGAGGTGATTGAACTAATTCCAACAAGTTATTAGAATAACTGATAGTGGAACCTCCCTTACAAAATGAACAATATACGCTTCTTTATTACAGAAGGAATTGGCTACAGTAAACCTATCCCTTTATTTGGGTTAAATGTTGTTCTGTAATCACTTTTACAGGTTGGACAGGACTTTTTTGCCCCTGCGTCCTGTTTGGGCGTAACGTTGAGCAATTGAGAGATGATACTCCTTGGAGCCGTGCCTGTATTTGCCATGCTGTTTTTGTGGAGGGAGGTATTGCTCTTGCAGTCGCAACAGCGGCATTAAATGGCGTTGTGCTTGATCCCAGGCAAGCCTTCCTTATCTGTGAAGGCTTGGTCTTCAGTTGGTGGGTGTGTGGAATATATACTGGGCTCTTTCGGCAATCACTTCAAAAGAAGTATCATCTGAAGGTTATATATTTTCTTCTCTTTAACTTAAGGACGTGATTGGATCATGGAAAAAGCTGTGAAAGGGAAAAATATGTGAAGGAAAGTTACTCTCTTATGTTTGGGTTTATATTGGAAAATGCATATCAAAATGAGAAGTAATTAGTTTCTTATTTTCTATCCGAATTTCCCTTTTCTTGTACTTTCCGAACTGACCCGTGATATTATTGAATTTTTGGATGGCAGAATTCCCCGTGTGACCCCTGCGCGGTGCACTGCTGCATGCACTGGTGTGCCTTGTGCCAGGAGCATAGAGAGATGAAGGGACGTCTATCTGACGATAACGCCATCACACCTATGACCATAGTCAACCCTCCACCTGTCCAATACATGACTCGCACTTCCGACGATGCTGGTGGTGATGGTGGTGGTCATGGCCATGAATCGTCTGCTGCCGCCCACACAAACCTTGAGATGCAACCTCTTTGAAAGCCTACACAGTTTCTAGTCTCCTCTCAGGAACAGACTTGTTTGAAAAAGGGCCAAAAGGTACTACTGAGTAGTACTATACCAGTAATATACTTACTACAAAAGACCATTGAGTTGCTCTTTTGGTGGTAATATCAGCTATTTTTCATGCTTATATACTCCTTCCTCCTGCATATAACATTTCAAATTTTTTTAGTCAAATTGAATAACTTTAAGACCACGTTTGGTACACGGGATTCAAGCCATGAAATTGAAATTGGAAACTTTAATTTCTCTTCCAATTTTTTGATGAATTCCCATACCATTTGTTAGCACAAAAATATGTGAATTTGGAATTAGAAAATTCAATTCCATCCAATTTCAATTTCAATTTCATCAATTCCGTGCACCAAATGTGATTGTAAGTCTTTATTTTTCAATTACATAAAAATCTAAAGAATATGGAATGAAATCGTGTTCATATTGTTATGTAAGGTAATTTTTATTAATTGAAAATTTGTACACTTTGATTCGAAAAAAATCTAACATACGAGCTCACGTGCTTACTGTTGGTTCTTTACCAATGGTAATTTTTATGTAATTGATCAATTTTAATTATTTTAATGGCAGACACTTTTTTCTAAAATAAATTAATAAACAGTAATTAGTACGGTTTTAGCGACATCAGACTCAGAATCGTGTTACAGGACTCTTCATTAGATATTCAAGAAAAAATAAATATACAGATGGAGTTGTTAATTAACTGAGAGTAGAGATCGAATTGATTTATATCACCAATTTTCATGTGAAGTAGAACTAAAAAGAAGTAAAATTCGAGGGTTTAATATTCCACGTCCCATAAATTTTTTAATCTCATATATTTACACAGGATAAATATATTTTTTGTTCTTTATCCCCAGTTTGTGAAAGTCTTACCAAATTTTATTTCTTCCTGCGCAAAACATTTGATATTAGTTTTAAATACTAGATTTTTTTTATTTACACCAATATTTAGAAGAGGGAATAATTAAATTGCGAGCATTCAATATAAAAAAAGATGTGTAATATAGTACCAAGTACGTGTTTTATCCCATCTATACTTCTTTTGGTTACTTTATTATAAACTAAATAAAATTAGTACATATATATATATAGTTATTTTACGAGTCCTAAATAGTACGGAGTAATTCTCTCTTCCGGAAAAAACAAGATTCTTTTTCAGTGGCGCCTGCCGCCGCCGTGCAACTGTGCGAGAAGACTCCGACGACGACAATGCACCCATCTGCAGCACCGACGAGCAGCAGTGCCTACCATCACAAATGGCAAAAGAAAACACCTTACAAGAATTACAACCTTTACGGCGACGGAGACAATGAAAAAGAGCACATGGAAGAGATTATTCTCTTCGAGGATGGTGACATGAAAGGGTTTCTGAGGGACAAGAAGAAACATAAACCCAAACAACGTAAATGGCGCCGCCAGTTCTCAAAGTGTTTTGCGTTTTTAAAGCTAATGTTTTTCATCAGGCAGCGGAAATAATGTTAATTGAATATGTTGTTTGATCTCAAACATAGTTGAATTCTACGGAGTAGTTTTTGTTTTTAAATTCACGATAGGGTTTTAGGTTTAAAATTTGTAATTATGAGTATAATTATATTGTCATATGGTTGGGGAGGACTTTTATATGTACATTCTTTGATGGTTTTTGTTGCATATAGGTGGAGTAATGTTATATTCATAATAGCAACGATTTACTCCTCTCTCACAATATTTTACTTAAACTAGATGAGCTTTAATCAGTAAATATTAAGCTCACATTTTATATTAAATACTCCAGAAAAATTTGATATTCTTTTTTTTTGTGTGTGAAAAATTTAATATAACCAAACCATTTTTGTAGTAATATCATACAAAAACTTTTAATCGATGGTCACAGTTTGTGATGTTTTTAACACGAAAGTAGTATTTTTTTAAAAATACCAAAGTAGTATTTTTTTGTACGGAGTTACAATAATCTTTGTATGATTATTAATTTTTATTACGGAGTTTCTAGTAGTTTATTATTTTGAATAGCTTCTTAAGTCTACTAGGATTGTACTTGTATAGGAGTTTATTTTCTTGAAGTATATCAAATACTTTCCATGTATTTCTAAAAAAACCCTTTATTAGATTCATTTCTAAAAAAATTAGTGATTTATTTCATTGTATTACAGAGTAATATATACAACACAAATTTATTGTAATTGATGTTTAAAGTTTGTGATCCAAAAAACATACTCCCTCCGTCCCAAAAAGATTTACACGTTTCAAAAAAATTGTGTCCCACAATCTCCTACCCATTTCTATTAAAAAATAGAAATCATCCTAAATAGGACTAAAACATAGAGAAAAGTACCAAAATAGGACTTTCATGATTTTTTTCCGAAATAGGACTTGACACTGTGGTAATGTGACTTTGCATTGTGGTAATGTGACAGTGTACATGTGCAAATTACTATACTTTTTTGGTAATGTATATGATCATGTTTGGTAATGTAAGTCCTATTTCGGGAATAAAAACATGAAAGTCCTATTTTGGTATATTCTCAATGTTTTAGTACTAGTTTGGTCTTTCTCCCATTAAAAAACCACTTTTACCACTCACTTTTTCAAACTCTGTCTATCACATCATACTTTTTTTTAATAATCTACACATCACATCCTACAATTACCCATCACATCAAGGATATTTTTGGAAATTCAATACAAAATTATCCCTCCCTTAATTTCAACTTTAGTCAAAATGGGTAACACTTTATGGGACGGGGGGAGTATTAAATTAAAAATGAATATTATGAAACCGAATAGAGTTATGCCTTATCCGAATTTGATTAGTTGGGCCCCTTTTTCGAAACAAGAAACTGGGCCGAGGAGTCTCGATGGAAGATGTAATCAAAGGCCCACCTTAGCATCCATCCAGCCCAACACCTCCACCATGCAGCCAATCAGCGAATGCCACGTGGGTTGGCGGTTAACTTTTTGAATCCGCCCCATTCAAACCTGTCCACTAATGGGTTGCAATTGCTAACCGAAACCTCGCAACTCCCTCTAATCCCTATTTATCTGAGGAATTAAAAAAACAAACTGTTTCGAGTTTCGACCAAACAAAACCAATCCGGAGAGATAAAGAGAACAGCAATCAATCCTATGAACACTACTAATAATAGAGTGTTCTCCAACAACTTCAATTGGACATCTCACTACAACTCTCTCTCAATGGCTTCCATTCGCTCCGGCCTCAAAGACTGCTTCAACCCCGACACCCTCCGCACCTACCTCGCCGAGTTTCTCTCCACCTTCTTCTTCGTCTTTGCTGCCGCGGGGTCCACCATGGCCTCCCGTAAGTCCATCCCCTCTCTGTACATTTTTTGACCATGTAATAAATTCTGAAATTAATTTCGCATTCTTTTGTACGTTTTGAAGTAATTCAAAGTCAATCACAAGTTTTTTTTTGTGAAATTTGCACCGAATGAGACTAAAACATAAGACATTTTTGAATGTGGGACTTAAACTATTTTTTTCCTTAAATACGATTTAATAATGTCTAGTGACAGAAATAATATCCAGTAAAGATGGACATTTACTTTTAAATAATGACTAATTGAAAATAAAAACATATGTTCCTATACTCGAAAAGTAATTATTTTAGTTCAAATTAGGTTAATTTCTCTTTTTTTGTGTCTAATAAAAATGAACTCTATTGGGTAGGGAAAATGTCGCCTGAGGCGGTGGCGGATCCGGCGAGCCTGGTGGGGACAGCGGTTGCGAATGCTTTTGCTTTGACGGTGGCGGTTTACATTTCGGTTGGTGTCTCCGGCGGCCACGTGAATCCGGCCGTCACTATGGCTAGGGCCGTGTGCGGCCACGTCAGCATCTCCGTGGCCATCTTTTACTGGACGTCACAACTTCTTGGCTCCGTCATGGCTTGCCTCGTCTTAAAAGTCACCACTGTTCAACAGGTCGTTTTTCAATTTCATTCATTAATCCAACAATTAATAATTCCTTCATTAATTCAACAATTAATAGTTCCTTCATTTAATTTCTTTCTTTGGCTAATTAAATTGCATCTGATGAAATTAGTTCCGTCATTAGACCTTTGTTGACCTAAAAGTATTGAAGTTAAACTTTATTTTTGATCAATTTAAAAAAAAAGTTAACGTACAACTTTCAAACAAATAAGAGCAATGCTAGGGGTCACCAAAGGTGTACCCCAAATGTACACCACCCCCTTGTGCACTACCCATTTTTATTTTACTTTATTTATTTACTCCGTATTTATTTTGAATTTTTTATTGATATAAAAAATATTTTTATAAACTTCCTCCGTATCTAAAAAAAATTCTATTTCCTTTTTTACGCATTCTCAAATACACTTTTATACTACATATTTATAATGTCTAAGATTCATCATATATTTCTCTTTTATTATGAGCAGACGTTCAGGGTGTTTTAGATATTTTAAATGGTATAGAAGCATTTTATGAGTGTGCAAAAAATGAAACAAGAAATGTTTTCAAAGACCGAAGGAAATTATTTTTAATAATATTTGCTAATATCAAATTATAATACTTTTACTAATTTTGGTCCTTGATTATGAAATGGTGTTACAGCATGTACCATTGCTTGAGATCCCGCAAGAAATGACGGGATTCGGGGCATCAATACTGGAGGGGGTGATGACATTTGCTTTGGTGTACACGGTGTACGCGGCGGGCGACGCGAGAAGGGGTGCCATTGGCTCGGCGGGCGACGCGAGAAGGGGTGCCATTGGCTCGGCGGGCCCGCTGGCCATCGGTCTGATTGCGGGCGCGAACGTTCTGGCGTCCGGGCCGTTCACGGGCGGAGCGATGAACCCGGCGTACGCGTTCGGGACCGGATTGGTCGGTGGAAGCTTCCAGAACCAAGCAGTGTATTGGATCGGGCCGTTGGTTGGTGGCGTCGTTGGTGGCGTTATGTACGACAAGGTGGTGTTCCCGGTTTCTGAATCGCCCGACTCGATGAGGGGGTTGACTGAGGTCGGTGGTGTTTAGGGTAAATTAAGTGTTTTTTTTAGATATAACATCTTTACTAAATCATGGGTCTAGTACAAGTGTGTATTGTGAATTGAAGCAGTTTGTTTTAATTAGGATGTTTTATTTACTCCATGGATATAATAGTTGGTTGCTAGTGTTTCTTTGTTCAAACTAAACAATACGTTCTAAATTTGTAAGGTGCTTATGTTATCATATGACCAAGTTTGTTTTTAACATGACTACATATGTAGCACAAATGTTTATGCATCCATTCATTTGTTGGTTAATCACCCATGTGTCTTGTAATCAGATCAGATCAGATTCAATCAAATCAGATCACATCCAATCACATTAGATCTAATCAGATCAGGTCAGATCCAATCAGATCAGAACTTCAAAAATTCAAATCAGATCAGGCGTACAGAACAGAGCCTAACAAACCTTGATATGATGATATCGTTAGATAGTTTATTGAATCAAAATCAAGAGTTTTTTTAACATAATCACAATTTATTCACCAACAACTCAAAGCAAAATGTTTACAAAAAACAGAAATAATACTTGACAACTATGGTGTAATAAAAGGTGAAATTGTTCTATATATTAGTCTATTAAGACTTAAATATGATTATAAGACACATTTGTGAGAAAAATATCCTCAATTGTTCTGGCCATTGAGTTTTAATTAGAGCTAGAAATTTATTGACGGATAATACTTTTATCTTGTCCCAACTATATTCCACATTGAGAGAGTTAATTGTGGGGTAATTAACAATTGAGCACCCCAACTTATCAAGACTCTCAAAAAGAGTAACCATGAGATGGACGTAATATTCCATTTCTAAATCTCACTAAAAGAACAAAATGCTACTCTATTTGTCTCTCTCTCATAATAAAGCTATTCCCTACCTTGTTTTATTATAGGCACAAACACACTAGTTCTACCTCGTTTGTTACTATTTGTTATATAATTAACTTTTTTAATTTTAATTTATTTTTTAGGCCATGAAAAATAAATTGAAAAAAATATATAAAATTAAATGACTTGAATTGACTATTTAATTAAGAAATGACTTTAAAAATCAAACTATTTTGGCCTTAACTTATTTTCAATTTCTTAGTAATCATACTACTAAAAAGTAAATAAAAATACTAAATAAAAACAATAAAAAAAATTATGTGGCAACAATGCAATTGTTGCAAAACCTATTTAAGATGTGTTTTTTTGTCTTTGCAATGAAGAATATTTCTTTACGGAGTAAGGAGCAAGGAGGGGAAAAGAACGAAAATAGTAAAAAGAAATTACACTATTTTGGAATGAATATATAAAATATACAGTAAATAAAGTTAAAAAGCTTTATGGAGCAACAAGGGAAAAATGGAACACACTAGGCTATTCCCTAGTGAAATATCCTCAATTGTTCTTGTCATTGAATTTGTATTAGTAGAGCTAGAAATTTAATGATGGATAATGCTTTTATCTTGTCCCAACTATATTCTACATTGAGAAAGTTAATTGTGGGGTAATAATAATTGATCACCCCAACTTATCAATACTTCTAAAAAGAGTAATCATGAGATGAACGTAATATTCCATTTCTAAATCTCACTAAAAGAACAAAATGGTACTCTATTTGTCTCTCTCTCATAATAAAGCTATTCCCTACCTTGTTTTATGAATTTTTATTAAAGAAACCTACTAAATGACTATAACATTAATCTTATAACAAAATAAAACCTCCTATATTTTATCCACTCAATATGAGTGTGAGAGTATCTGGTTAGGACTCCTTCGAAACAATTTTTTTTATTGTTCGGCAACAGTAGCGCCCAATTTTTCTCACACCAAATGAACAAGTGGCCCAAGTTTTGCAGCCCAGCTCATTGGTAAAGGAGGCCCGTCCGGCCATGATGAAAATTCATAAATTTATGCCTCCGAACCCATCCAAACAAGGACGGAACAAGCGGCCCAAGTTTTGTAGCCCATCTCTCTCTCTCTCTCTCTCTCTGAATTCAAATAGATTCGAAAATGTCTTTCCCGCCTCTTTCAATCACTGGCCCCATTTCTGTGCGAGCTCTCTGGCGATTCACTTGGGGGCTTTGATCTCCAGAAGAGACCCGAGATTTCTTTTCTAGGGTTTCGATTTCGCATCATCCTCCCGATAGATTGCTCTTTGGTCGCAGCAATGCATATCAAGGAGATATGCCTGGAAGGTTTCAAATCCTACGCCACGCGGACGGTGGTTTCAGGGTTCGACCCGTTTTTCAATGCAATTACGGGCCTGAACGGGTCTGGCAAGTCCAACATTCTGGATTCCATTTGCTTCGTTCTGGGAATCACGAATCTGCAGCAGGTTAGAGCTTCCAATCTCCAGGAGCTGGTCTACAAGCAAGGCCAAGCCGGAATCACCAAGGCTACTGTTTCTGTAATTTTTGACAATTCCGATCGTAGTAGGAGTCCTCTGGGGTACGAGGATTGTCCTGAAATCACTGTCACTCGCCAGGTGAAGCCTTTTCTTACTAATTTAACTAAAATAGATGTTTTTGGTTATTGAATTGCGGTGTATAGTAGCCTGTACAGATGCGTTGTTGTTCTGTGTTTGTTTAAGAAACTTGTCAATGTTTGAAAAAAATAAAATAAAATAAAATCAGTTGCAAACAATTGTAAGGAGTTAAATATTCATGTGCAGATTGTCGTTGGTGGGAGGAACAAGTACCTAATCAATGGCCACCTAGCGCAACCAAATCGTGTGCAGAACCTTTTTCACTCCGTGCAACTTAATGTGAACAACCCCCATTTTCTTATAATGCAAGGTCGCATTACCAAAGTCCTGAACATGAAACCTCCTGAAGTGTTGTCCATGCTCGAAGAGGCTGCAGGGACAAGAATGTACGAGACTAAGAAAGAGGCTGCGCTTAAAACACTTGAAAAGAAACAGAGCAAGGTTGATGAGATTAACAAGCTCCTTGACCAGGAGATTCTTCCTGCTTTGGAGAAGCTTAGAAAAGAAAGGTTGCAATATGGGCAGTGGGCAGACGGGAATGCAAAACTGGATAGGCTAATGAGGTTTTGTATTGCCTATGACTATGTCCAAGCTGAACAGGTTAGGGATAATGCGGTTAAGGGCCTGGAAGAAATCAAAGCTAAGATTTCTGAGATCGATGGTAATGCAGATATGATGCGTGGAGAGATAAAGCTACTGGAAAAGAAATCATCAGAACTGCAGGCTGAAAAAGAGGCAAACATGAGCGGAGAAATGAAAAGTTTGTCCGACAGAGTTGACTGTCTTTCACGTGATCTGGTGAAGGAAACCTCTGTGTTTAGAAATAAAGAGGATATTCTTGGGACTGAGAAAGATAATGCCAAACAGGTAACAAGGGTAAAATGCCATAATCCATCATTTGTTCTGTTGCGCATGTATTAAATTCATTATTTTGGGTTTTCCAGATGGAGACAAACCTTGAAGAATTGAAGCGTTTAGCAGAAGAAAAGGCTGCTGCTGTACAAAATGCTGAGGCTGGAGCATCTGATCTAAAGAAAACTGTTCAAAATTTATCGAAAAATCTTGAAGAGCTCGAGAAGGAGCATGAGGTGAACAATATGAAACAGTTTCATTATGTTCATGTGAAAATATTGCTCTGGAATTAAATGAGTACACCAACTAAAGGGTTCACTATCTGTCATATTGCAGGGTGTTCTAGCAGGCAAGAGCAGTGGCAATGAGGAAAAATGTCTTGAGGATCAACTAAGTGATGCCAAAGTTGCAGTTGGAAAGTCTGAAACAGAGTTGAAACAGTTGCAAACCACAATAAACCATTCTGAGAAAGAATTGAAGGAGAAGAAAACTCAGCTGCTCTCTAAACGTGATGAAGCTGTTGCAGTTGAGAATGAGCTCACCACTCGGAAGAAAGAAGTTGAAAACACTAAAAGCACTTTGGAATCTCTGGGGTACAATGAGGAACAGATGGAAGCATTACAAAAGGTATACACGGTTTCTGTCACAGTTGCTCAAACATTTCCACCATATTGGAGTATGTGTTTGAATTTAATTTCTCTAAATGATTCGTGATGTCAGGATCGTTTGATTGAAGTAGAGATGATTCAGAAGTTGAAGGAAGAAATCAGTGTTGTATCTCCTCAATTGGCTAACGTTGACTTCACATACAATGACCCTGTGAAGAATTTTGATAGAGCAAAGGTAAAAGGTGTGGTTGCTAAACTCATCAAAGTGAATGATAGTTCTGCCATGACTGCCTTAGAGGTTAGTTTCATACTTGATATAGTAAATGTATTTTAATCTTTCAGGGTAATGCTTAGACTTTAGTTTTAGGGGTGCTTAATTTTAAATTCTCATGTAGGTTGCTGCTGGTGGAAAGTTGTACAATGTTGTTGTAGACACAGAAAACACTGGAAAACAGCTTCTTCAAAATGGTGGTCTTAGGAGACGAGTAACTATTATTCCTCTAAACAAAATTCAAAGCCATCCTGTCCCTCAAAGAGTTCAAAGTGCTGCAACTAGACTCGTTAGTCACTGCACTCTGCTATTCCGGTGCTTGATTATATGAGTTAAACATTATTCTTCTGCAGCATTGTGATAAGATGATTGTTCTGCTTCTTTTTTCAGGTGGGTAAGGGCAATGCTGAAGTGGCTCTTCTTCTCATAGGATATGATGAAGAGATCAAGGTCGCCTTTAATTGTTGTTTATTCCTTCAATAGTGTTCTGCTTACTCGTTCTCTTAGGGCTGTATCATCAAATATATTGGAACTCATAACAAATTATCAATTATTTTTGGTTCTCTAAATAAGCCTCTTAATACGTTTTCTATGAAAGTAAAAATGCACATGTGAACATTGCATTCTTATTTTAAACAGTAACTAATTCTTTAAATCTGTGCATTGCAGAGTGCAATGGAGTATGTATTTGGATCAACCTTTGTTTGCAAAACCCCTGATGCTGCAAGGGAGGTAACATCATAAATAGCAGCATCTATTCATTTGGCTCAATTACATTTTTTATTTTCATTGTTTGGACTTACAGAAAGAAAATATGAACTGTGAGCATTTTTTTCAGAAAGTCAATTAAGATTGTTTTGTTCCGTGTGGTCTGTAAAATGATTAAAACTTGCATCATAAAAAATGTTGTAAAAACATAATTAAATTTCTCAGTTGAATCTTAACATTCTCAAGTGTCTTTGCTCTATCAACGTCGTAGGAACCAGTTTCATGCTAATTCTATTTCCTTTTTCACCTGAGTTTATTATGTTTTGTGTTATGCAAAACAAGTGATTTGTTGTAAATTGTGATCATCTGCTGCTTATATTAAGCTTCCTCATAATCTAAATTCTAAAAGAAGTATTCTGTTCTCTAGGTTGCTTTTAATAAGGAAATTGGAACTCCAAGTGTGACACTTGAAGGAGATATATTTCAGCCAAGTGGACTCCTTACTGGTGGTAGCCGAAAGTATGTGGTCATTTGCTTCCTGTTTAATCTCGGGTGTATATGTAATTGTGTAATAAGGGCGTATTATATTGCTTGTGTTTGCTGAAACTTGAATTAATTGATTTGATTACAATATTTATTCAGTGTCTGGCTTAGCTTCATGCTGAAATTTTAGAGCACATATTGCTTGGTTGCTGCAGGGGTGGTGGTGAATTGTTGAGGAAGCTTCATGTTATGGCTGAGGCTGAATCCAAACTTTTGTTGCATCAGGAGCGTCTCTCTGAAATTGATGCTAAGGCTAGTTTTTTCTTTAGCCTGAGAAATCCAAACAAAAATCCTTTTTCACCGGTCTTCTTTTTTTTCCCCAAATGTCCATAATTTTATACCTGGGATTAATTGTTGTAGGTGTTAAATGATTTGTGCAATGCCCAACTTTTCTTTTGTTGTACAACTGTTTTAAGCTACGAAATGATTACATATCTTCCACTTTATGTTGTTGGAATCATGGATTTGACCTTCTTTGTTTGGGTATGTAGATCAATGAGCTACGGCCTCTTGAGAAAAAGTTTAAAGATCTTAAGGCACAATTGGAACTTAAGTCATATGATCTTTCATTATTTCAGAACAGAGCTGAGCAGAATGAACATCACAAGGTAGTATTTGTACCATCTGGGTTTGCATATGTTGTATGAAGTTATATGCCATTATCTTTCTTTTACCTTATACTCCGTAATTATTCTGATGCAGTATAATTCTCTTCGATAACTTCAATTTAGTTACCATACTCATATTAATCAGTGCATTGCCATTTTTTCATACAGCTTGCAGAATTAGTAAAAAAGATTGAGCATGAAATAGAGGAATCAAAATTAGCTTTGAAAGAGAAAGAGCTCCAGTATGCAAACTGGATTGAGAAAGTGTCATCTCTTGAGAAGTCAATCCATGACCATGCTGGTAGTAGAGAGGACAGGCTCAAAGATCTGGAAAAGAAGATTAAGACAGTAAAGGGTCAGACTCAATCATTGTTGAAGGACCTTAAGGTAGACTTTCTTATTAACAGTTGTAGAAACTATGAGGAACCTGCATATTCTTATCTCAGTTTTTCCGAACAACTAATTTAGGAAGCATTTAGAATTGAAGCAAACATTCATGAACGTTTGACAATTATTCTGTTTTATTGCATTCTACTGGTATTGGACTATTGGTAGCCCTCTTGGTTTATATGGATATGGTAAATCATGGGGCTTGCAATTAAATAATCACGTAATACTATCAGGGGCACGAAAATGAAAGGGAGAAGCTCATAATGGAGGTAGACGCTGTCAAACAGGAATATGCTGCAGTAGAGAGCCAGTTGACTTCTTTGAAGAAGCAGATTACTGACCTTACTATGGGAGTGGATTCTCAGAAGGCAAAGGTTATTTCTATACATCAAGTATTTGCAATTACTAAGAAAAAATAATTCCTTTTGTCCTTTGCACCCAATTCGGATGGAAAAAGATGGAGAAAATGGAAATAAGAGAAAAATTGTTTGGAGTAATAGACTATCTGACATTGTTTGGATTTAGGTGTAAAAAAAGGATGGAAAAGAGTGTTTGTTTTTTATCTCTTCCCAATCCCTCCAATTCCGAAAGAAAGCAATTTTGAAACTCTTATTTTACTTTTTCTTCCCGCTCTCATTAATTTGCATTAATAATCATCAGAGGAAAATTACAGAAAGGAAAATAAAATATCCAAACAAAACTATTACTTCCTGATGCAGGTTGTTTCTGTGAAAAATGACTACGACTTGGCCCAAAAAGAACTGGGCTCAGCACGATTGAAGATGAAGGAATGTGACACACAGATTTCAAGCATTCTCAAGCAACAGCAGGAGCTTCAAAGTAAACTTAGTGGGGCTGCTCTTGAGAAGAAGAGATTGGAGAATGAGGTTTAGCATTTACTTAATAGTCATATATTCTCTTGTTTTTTATGTGCGTTACTCATGGAAAGCATCTCTCATCTGCAAACTATTTTCAGGTAAAACACAAGGAGATAGATCAGAAAGACTGGTCACTTAAGGTGGAGAAATTGCTTGAAAAGCATGTGTGGATTGCGTCAGAGAAACAACTTTTTGGGAAAAGCGGAACCGATTATGATTTTTCAGCACATAATCCTCGTAAAACCAAAGATGAATTTGAAAAGCTACAGGCTGAACAATCAGGGTAACATCCTTTTTTTAATAAGTCTTTTTAGTTAGTTTTTTGGAGTACAAATTCTAAATATTCTTGGTGGAATATATCTATTTTTAGAGTTGATTATTTTTTAATATACTTGGGTAACAGCCTTGAGAAGAGGGTAAATAAAAAGGTCATGGCTATGTTTGAAAAGGCCCAGGAAGAGTACAATGATTTGATAGCTAAGAAGAACATTATACAGGTAACTTTTGTCAATCACTAGTTATTAGTATAATGTTTGTTTTGGTTGTATTGTCTTCTTTTGCTTGAGCATTGTCTTCATGTAGGAAGATAAAGAAAAAATCAAGAAGGTGATTGAAGAGCTCGACGAGAAGAAGAAAGAAACACTTAAAGTTACTTGGGAAAAGGTTAACAGGTAAAGAATGCTTTTATCCACAGTCATAGTTGTTAGTATATATTTTTTCAATCATAATGCACAGTAGTGGATTTCTTGCATTTTTAATTCTTTCTGGTCATTCATTCGACAACAATCAACCTGCATACTTGGAAACTCATCCAAATAACTGGTTGTTCACTAAAGTTTTAAAAGTGAAAGTCACGGATCAAAAGTGATTTTTTCATTAGTCTGAGACAAATTTGCTGTTCTTCTGCAATTTCACTATGCAATTTTTAAGAGCTAGATTACTCTTTCCAGGGACTTTGGATCAATATTCTCCACACTCTTGCCTGGAACGAATGCAAAGCTGAATCCTCCAGAAGGATGCAGTTTCTTGGACGGCCTGGAGGTGTGTGTAGCATTTGGAAGTGTTTGGAAACAATCACTTTCAGAGCTTAGCGGTGGACAGAGATCTCTACTAGCACTTTCTCTCATTCTGGCTTTGCTTCTTTTCAAGCCAGCTCCACTGTACATACTTGATGAGGTATTTCAAATATATATCCTCCCACCCCCTTGCCGAATTTATATTCTGCAATTTATAACTGAGTTCATGTATCGTTTGGTTCAACATGTGTCATAATTCAGACATACTCCCTCCGTCCTATATTGATATTCCCAGTTTGACTAAAAGTCATTTTAAGGGATGAGTAAATATTGCTTTGACTTCCAAAAATACCCCTCCTTTCCAAGGCAGTGATTGAAAAGAGGGAATGCAGCACTGAGACAAAGAAATCTCCCAGCATTACGAACTTAAAAAACTAACTAAAAAATCATCGTTAGAGTACTTCTTAAGCGCCTGGTTGCCGGCAAAGGTCATCACCCCTTGGTATCGGTGCACAAACCACATACTTCCAACTTCCAAGCGCCTGGTATTGTGATGAATCGCTGACAGATCTTGGGGCACAAACCACAGATCTCGGCGATATTGTGATGAATTGCCGGCCCCTTGGTATCGACGATGATGAGAAATCGCAGATCGAAAAGGGGAGAGAGACTTGGTAAATTGTAGATCGAAAGGGGAACCAAACTTGAAAACCCGTGGATCTTAGATCTGTGATTTTGAGGAGGTGAAGAAAGAAGGAGAGGGAAGAGAGGAGGAGAAAGTGATAGGAAGGAGAGATGGAGGAAGAGGGAGGGGAGAGGGAGGAGAGATGGAGAAAGAGGAGAGGGAAATTGGAGGAAGGGGAAAAGAGATGAAAGGTAGAGACGGAGGACAAGACAATGATTGAGAGGTGTTAAGGGGTAATATAGTCTATTTACATACTTTTTTAAGAAGTGGGAAGATAGTTTTAGGACGGAGAAAAATGAGAAGTGGGAAGATAGTTTTAGGACGGATGGAGTAATAAAATTGCTGCTCTGTAAAGCTTCAGGCTATATCTAAAGTTATGGGAAGACATTTATTTTTATAGTTAAAGCTCTCATAACCTTGGTTATATTTATGATCAAATTTCATTTCCAAGCTTACTACTATTAGAAATTTTACTGCATTTTTCAACATTTGAAAAGTCTAATATCTAAACAATAAATTTACTTATATACTTTTGTATTTATTTGCTTGTTGACATGTAGATATTTGTCGAGGGATGTTTCAGTAATTTAGTCTGCATAGCATACATTGAACCAAACTACTTAGCATGACATTACCCACCCTTAATAAAGGATGCCCATCAAGTTACCTTATTCCAGTACGCTCTACATAATTCAGTTGAATTTTAAAAGGCAAACACTGGTTTGTGGCAGGTTGATGCAGCTCTCGATCTTAGTCACACGCAGAACATTGGCAGGATGATCAAGAGTCACTTTCCACATTCCCAGGTTCTCTTTTTACTATCTACATCCCAAAATGAACTCGACATTTTGATCAAGAGTATTTTCATATAACATACATTATAAAAATAATACGGATGATGGGTATATGGGGACCCGTCCTAATACACCTGGTAAGATCTAGCCCATTGAAATGGGTCGGGCTAACTCGACCCAAAAGTGAGTTAATGAGTCTGTCAAGTGGCATACTGAGGTAGGAGACAAAAGAGTGATCTCCATGATCCTACCCCATGTCCATGGGTCATGTTAGTTGCTTGCAAGAGTTGGACAACCTCTTGATGTGTATAAATATACTCTATCTTAGCCTGGGGAGGACATCGCATTTCTGATATGTGTAGGGAATGTTATCAAGAAAGTGCGATAATTTGGTTGATGAATTTTGACTCAAAAAATCAAATTGACGAGTTCATTTGGGGACGAAATTGAAGGGTGTATATGATTTAGAATGTGGGAAGTTAACGTGAGATGATAATGTGTGTTTTGTTACGGTGCAGTTTATTGTTGTGTCTTTGAAAGAAGGGATGTTTACCAATGCAAACGTGCTTTTCCGAACGAAATTCGTTGACGGCGTCTCCACTGTGCAGAGGACTGCCGCAGCAAAGGACAAGTAGTGATGTGAGGGTGATGTATGGCATTCTGTAAGATCAAATAGTAGTAGTACTAGTAATGATGTAATTATTGTGAAATGAAACTCTTTAGTGAATGTGTAAATCTCTAGTTTTCACAAATTTTATTTAAGGTTTAAACTCAAACGCTAGTACTATCATTCAACCCATAAATATTGCCCGAGTAGCGTAGCTGAGATGATTCAGAGGTGAGTAACAAAGTGGTAAATTCAGATTCGATTCCTGACAACGATAATAAAGATTGACCATATCGATCTTAGTACTCAGATTATAACCACATTTTCCCTCTCAGTTCAATGTCCGAGTCGGCACTACGCGTCGGGGTTCAATCTTTGTTTATTCAATGCATAAATATCATTATCTTAGGGAGCTAGTAGAATTTAATTACTCCCTAATCCCTATTACTATAATATGGAAGGCCATTACAATTAAGTTGTGATGGTGCGAAAAAGTTAAAGTGGAAGAAAGATATGAGATATAGAGTAGAAAAGCATATATTACAAATCATATGCGCAAAAACGAGAAAAAAATCAAAAGAAAAATGCTAAACAGAAATAGAGTAATCCATAATAAATAACTAGTCTTTAAAAAGTTATGTTTTCGACAACAGAAAATAGATAGTCATCCTCACAAACACCGCCAGCAAGCAACGGCGCTCCGTTATTAATAATGTTGTTGTTACCATTTTTCCCTTCCATTTTCGTATTCATCATCTCAACCTCTGTCGTCTTAGGATTAACCTTAGGCATGGCTGCCTGCAACATGGACACAACATCCCTCATCGACGGCCGGTCTGCCGGATTCCGGCAAGTGCACAACAGCGCAACCTTTAGCAGCAACATCATCGTCTCCTCTCCCGCCGCCGTATCGTGACAAGTACTTGTGCCCATAATGTTCTTGTCAAACACTTCCAGTTGTTGTTGTTTGTTGGTGGTGCCGCCTTGTTTTCCGGTGGTCGTCAATTTGGAGCGGACCCAGTCGACGACACTATTGCCTTCTCCGTATTCACTCTCCACCGATCTTTTGCCGGTGAGTATTTCGAGGAGCACCACTCCGTAGCTGTATATGTCGCTCTTCTCGTCGAATTGTAACGTGTATGCATACTCTGCATGCCAAACATGTACACACAAACTTCTTATGAACAAATTTCAATTACATATTATACTTTTCCTAAACTCTGTGTAAAAAGTATATACTCCGTATTTCTTAAAGAATATTGATGTGAACTTTAGGTTTATAATAATAAAACTTATGTGGACTCATAGTTTGGAGAAGAAGTATGATTAATGAGAGAAAAAGGCACGGCAAAATAAAGTAGTCCAAATGGGATTTGGGGTGTGGGTGCATAAAATCTTTGGCGTAAAGTCAAAACAGCACTATAAAAGAGATGATTAACGTAACCCGGGGTTAATAATAATTATAACAATAATTACATATTGATCATCTATAGTTTTCGAAATCTTTGTAGGGTCCAAAAAAAAAGAATGGAAAGGGGTGGAGTTTAAATTAAAGTTATATGAGTTGTGCTGTTAAGCTTTAACACATATTTCACACAATGTGTGCCTAATTTAATCACGGCGCATGCAGGAAAGGTGCATTATATATAGCACATATATATAATTAATGCACTATGTTTATATGGGTCTCACAATAATAATTATAACAATAATTACATATTGTTTGTATATTTTTATTGATTCTTTGATAAAATAAAATACACTCGTAATTTATTATTTTGTAAAATTTTTGATGTAGTTTTTAAATATCTAAGTTTTACGGAGTATTAATTTTTATGTTTCTATGCCATCCTTAAAAAAAATAAGTTCAAAAAACATAAAATTTTGCTTCGTTTTACGCAATGTTACAATATTCTTTTTGGAACGAATGAAATACAAAATATTAAAATTTACGAAAAAATAAATGAATAGATTAAGTTGGGACAGGGCTAGAGAATATCAGATCGTAATAAAACAACACTGTTTTTATCTCTTTTTTTTCAAGGAAATGTGTAGTAAAACTTAAGGATTGGAGTTTTTTAAAAAAATTAGTAGAGTTTCTTTATTGCCAAATGCCAAGAAAAAGTAGAATTTCTTTTTGGAATAAGAAGGGCGGGTAAAATTAGTAGAAACATGACACCACATTGTGCATGAAAATGTGAGCTCCTTTTGTCACGTCAATTAAAAAATTAAAGTGCTCCTTAAATCATTAAATTAAAATGTGCCTATAATCCATCAAATAAATACTGAGTGATAAATTTTATACTCGGTAGATTCATTATAAACGAGTATAAAAAATTGAATCCATATATGATCAGTAGAGCATAGATATCATAAACTCCCTCCGTCCATTAATAATCTTTTCATTGCGCATTATGATATTTGAACAAAGTTATTCTCAAATCATTTTATATGAAAAATAATATTAAATTAAAAAATAAAAATTACATAACTAAAAATTATATCAAAAATTCGATCTATAAAACTAGACGCGACATTACTATCTCATTTTATCAATTGGACATTACTAAAACTTAAGTCATTTCTCTAAATATCACTTAAATTGTTTTATTTTCCAAATAGCACTTAATAATGTCCAGTAAAGACGAACATTTACTTAAATAATGACTAATGGATAATGACTAAAAATGCTACATTAGGGAAAAAACACATATGATGCTATTTAGAGAAAGTCATTATGTTTTAGTGTTATTTAAGTAAAATCTCTTATAAAAAATAGATCAATACAGTAAATAAAATTTGACAATGTGAATGGTAATGTACCTGGAGCAATGTAACCATAAGAGCCAGCAATGAGGGAGGAGGAGGAATCTTGAGTTTGAACCAACAATTTGGCGACCCCAAAATCAGCAACTCTTGCTTCTATTTCAGAGTCCAGAAGAATATTGCTTGGCTTCAAATCCCTATGTACTATTACTGGGTTACAGTCATGGTGCAAATAACTCATCCCTTGTGCCACCCCTACTGCTATCTTGTACCTTGTCATCCAATCCACCCCATCCACCTTTCTTACCTATACATACATACATTTACATTTTTTGGATTTAGCTATTTGTACATACACCAAAATTTGTACTCCAAAGACTAGCAGTGTGATGATTTGCATTGACAAAAAATGTCAGTGCAAATTTTTTTAAATTAAACTAGCATTTTCTGTCAGTGTGAACCGTTAAAATATCGGTGCATTTCTCTGGGGTACTCCTAGCATGGTTGGTATTTTTTTCACAATTTATTTGTACATATATATTTTGAGTTCATATATAGTACGTGATGAGTAATTTTGTTGTTATACCTTATGTTTGGAATGGAGTAAATCATGTAGGTTCCCATTGGGCATGTATTCATATAACAACATTGTACACTCCCCGCTTGTGCAATACCCCAGCAACCGCACTATGTTTCGGTGTCTCACGCTGCCCAAGACGTCCACCTCCGCCAAAGCCCCGCCCCGCTTCTTCTTCCTTTGCCTTCCTAATATGAGCTTCTTCACCGCTATTGTCTCGCCGCTCGGCATTTCCGCCTTGTACACGACCCCCGTGGACCCCATCCCGATCACCTCGTCGCTCATCGCCACGCACTCCAACACGTCGCCCGCCGTGAAATTCAGGCGCCGGAACGCCGTCAGCTTCCACGGGCCCCCGTCGTCCCCGTGGCCCGACACCCTCGTGCCGCGCCTCGAGCGGGCCCACCGGGTGCCCGCCACGAGAACGATCAGGAAGCACATTCCGAACACTACGGCCCCGAGCCACACGGCGGGCCCCGCCTCGGGACGGTTTTTAGCGTCCAGATTATCGGACGCGGCGGGCCCGTATGTGCGGCACGGTTTTTGAACCGGTTTGCCGCAGAGGCCTTTGTTGCCGAAAAACGACGAGGGGTGAAGGGTCGTGAATAGTGAACCAGAAGACGGGATGGGGCCCGCGAGGCGATTGTAGGACACGTTGAAGCTCTCGAGCGTGCGACAGTTGCCGAAATTGGACGGAATGGACCCGGAGAGGAAGTTATAGGACAGGTCGACGTCGGCGATCTTCGGGAGGCCGGAAATCTCCCACGGGATGATCCCGGAGAGCGAGTTCCGGCGAAGATTCAAAAGTATAAGCTTCTCACAATGCTCAATGCTCCATGGGATGCTACCTGATAAGTTGTTTCCTTGAAGCTCAATGTTGGAGAATTCCTTACACCCTTTAAACTCAGGGATCTCTCCCGCGAGCTTATTATTGCTCGCCGAAAAGATCTGAAGATTCCGAGACTGCCAAATATTTTCCGGCAATGCCCCTCCGAACGAATTATGGGACACGTTCAAACTCACCAGGTTCCCGGCTGGGTTACCGAAATCCTCCGGAATCCGGCCGGTGAACCGGTTCCGGCTGATATCCAGTAATGTCAGGTTAGTCAAGAAGCCGAACCCACGAGGGAATGACCCGTTCAGGTCGTTGTTTTGAATTCGGATCCTAACTAAAGTTGAACAGCTAACGAGAGATTCCGGCAACTCTCCGGCCAAGTGATTCCCGAACAAGATCAGTTTCTCAAGCCTGTTACCTGTTAAACATGCAATATGTATCGTCTTTTAATTCAATAACAAAAAACTAATTCACAGAACTTAGAAGCTTAATTACCATGGCAGAGATGGGGTGGAATTGGACCGGTCAGAGAATTGGAAGAGACGTCGAATTTCTGTAGCTTCCCATTTGAGCCAAACCTCTGTGGTAAATTCCCAGACAATGAATTTGACCATAGATTCAAAAGTTGAAGCTCCGGGAGCTCACTAAGCCCCTCCGGAATCTCTCCCGTCAAGTCGTTATACATCAGTGACAACAGCCGGAGATTTCCCAGAGATGATAGGGACGCCGGAATGGAACCGGAGATGAAATTGTCCGACAAGTCGAGTTCTTTTAAGGATGTCAGGTTGCCCAGCTCCGGCGGGATCGGGCCTGTGAAACTGTTGTTGTAAATGATGAGGTATTCGAGCTTGTTCAGGTTTCCTAGTTCCGGCGGCAGAGTGCCGGAGAGGTTTGCAGATTGGATGTCGAGGTAGAGTAAATTGGATAGTGACCCGAATTCCGG